CAAGGATTAGCATTCGAATGGGAACAATAATAATTACTATTTTCCGATAGAACCCCCGCTGCAAACGCCTTGGATTAGTTAGCTAAATGATGTTTGCAGGAAGTTTGCCTTAATTGTCGATTGCCATCGAAACCATCCTGGTGTGAGAACTAGAATATAACTTTAAGTTTTTGATATATTTGTTGTATGGTCACAAAATTCAAACGTGGAGAGATGTAGTGCCACAACATGATCATAATATTTTTGTAAGATTGAACTAACGCTCCAGTTTACAGTTGAAGAAAGATCTCGCTCGCGCGCAGAAGAGACATAAATAAATATAGTATAAATGAAATGTGGTAAAATATATTTTATTGAATATTATATATTTGGACAAGGGTTTCATTCATTTTATCACGTTGTTCCAGATTTTTTGAATGACAATTTTTTAAAATTGCAAGCAGATGATACTTTTTAAATTTTTCATTTCTTTTTCTGTTTTTGAAACGTGCAATTAAAAAAGAACCATATTTTGCACGCAAATTTTATTTTTTGAATTTTCGACAATTTCAATTTTTTTAACTTAAACGTCGCCATAATACTTGTTTTCAAAATTAAAAATCAGATGTAAGAAACGGTTCGATTTGGTTTTACCAAAATTAAAAATCCGTTTTCTTATTATCTACATTCTCATTATCACAGTCCGCAATGTTTTGAAAATGACTTGTTTTAAAAAGGCAACCGATTTAATCACATTTTTTCCAATTTTATACGACGAACTACTGGCAAATTTGATTTGCCCATACATTACCAATCCAAAACTATAAGAACATGGCAAAATACTCACCAGTCGAGCATCTAAATATTCAACATCGTTGGCGGTTTAATTTCCATAGGAAATATAAGCGCTTGGTATAGATTAATCTTCCGTGTAGTCTTGTGAAATTTTTCATCTCTCATTTTTATTGACCTTATTCCTCGCCAGATGTAACATAAATCAACCGTCGCAAACTGGGTTATAAAGAAAGAAAATATTACAAAAAAGAAGCAAAAGCAAAGCCGACATGTTATAACAACCTCTTTAGCAGGCCTTTAGAATATGTTATCTATTTTTCTTCGTCGCAGAGGGACGAATATAAAATATTAATTTCGGGAAAAATGTTAAGGCGGCGCTCGACGATGTGCGCCAATAGCTTCTATGCTCAAAGCAAATTCGCGATGTTTGCGAGCAGAGGCGGGGGTGTTGTACACAAACCCTTTAAGATTTGTCGTAAAAGTTTCATTGCATCCGTGGATATACAGATCGAGTAATAAAGTTCGAAAAATAAAATATTGCATTATTGCTGATTTCCGTAAGTGTAGGAAATTATCGTTACCACTTGTCAATATCAATAGCATATTATGCAACAAGTGCGGTGAACGGCATTTGACTCACGAATTTATTTGGCACGAGCAGAGCGCAGAGTGCTTAATAAACGAGTGAGGTAAAGAGTTTGCATACTATACTTTTTCTACGACAGTCACGAAAAAATCACAATTTAACAAACTAAAAATAATAGATTATCGGATAGGTAAATTTGGTACCAATCAAACGAAATATCTACTAGTTGCTATTAAACCCATTCGCTTATCGTCCCGATCGGTTCCGATATTGTTGTCTCCTTTTAACTGTGTACATTAAACAGAGAGAGATGTAGTATTGAATATGTTATATAAATAACAGAATAAACACAATTTCAAAATGCTATTTTGTTTATTTAACTTTTACAATTGATCATTAAGTAGTTTATTTAAAGAAAAAGACTGTAATTGAAAAAAAAATCATCCAAGGATAGAGCTTTTAAGAGGATTAAATTTTTAAGATGGTATAAGCAAGAAAAAACAGGTCCTAACCTTCAATATTCAATATTTGAAAATGGTACAATTAGTCTTGGCAAGATATTAATATAAAAACTGTAAAAACTACTAAAGTTCATGCAAACGGTATGTAAATTATAAACGTCTTTATTTACCGACTAGTTAATTCAACATTTTTTCTGTGTATTCGTTTTTGGGTACATTTTTGCAAAACAAAACGAATACGCTCAATCACATGACCATCAGAATTGACAAACGTCAAAATTCAAACTGTTACTATGCGGTAAAATCTCCGAAAACTTCCGATTGCTCCCAAAACCGGTGCGGTAACTGACGTGGTAAAGTGACGCCTCCCGCATGCTAGATCGGTATTTTACAGACGGAAGTAGAGAAAATTAAAAACAAATATTTATGGAAATCCCTGGTAATGTCAACTTCAACCTTTACCACCCTAAAAATTTACACTTTCTGAATATTTTGTTTATGGATTACGTGCAAATTTTTTCGCGTAAATTTGCCGTAAAAGCAAAAAAATATGTAGGGTCGTGTTTAGTGTTTATTTTTAAATCTGGTAGTGCTACCCTCATGTGGAAGTTAGTATTCCCACACTTAAAACTAGCTCTTTTTGAACATTTTATTTATGGATTATAATGGTAATTCTTCCGTAATAATTTATCTCTCTTAATAGCGATTTTCGTCAATAATATAAACAATAAAAACATGGTTGTTCTGTCATATTTGCGGCGCGACGTGTATCTAATAGTCAGCGTTTATAAAACAAACTGCCATTATTTTAAACAAGGAACCATCGCCATAATTTTTTGCCCATTTGTTTCCAAACACCCTGTATATAGTCACAAGCAGCGACGTTTGAGTTTATATATATATATATATATATATATATATATATATATATATATATATATATATATATATATATATATATATATATATATATATATATATATATATATATATATATATATATATATATATATATATATATATATATATATATATACCAAACCAAATTACCTGCAAACTCCTAACTCGTTTTTCCCACTTTTTCCGGAAAAAACTTGTTGGTTGTTTGAATTCTTTTCTGTGTCCTGGTAATAAATGTCCGTTGCACATTACTGCCCCATTTTGTGATACTTTTGTTTTGATACTTTGAGTAGCCCCAGAGTACCTAAGCTAACACCGAAAATTGAAAAATTGCTCATTTTAAAAATTTGCCCCCTCTTCTGTGGGCAACAAAAAACTACTTATAAAAATACGTATATATAAAACCATTATAGAAAGCATCTAAAAGTGATCAAAACTATGTGCAAAAACTAGAAGGTCCATATTCGAATTTTAAACGCGCCATTACATTTCTGTTATAAATTGGAAATGAACAAGTTTTTATAAAGTCAAAATTCTTTATTATATATTAAGGAAGGTGTAGTAAATTATAACATTCGCACAATTTAACTATATACCGTATCAAAAAGTAGGACAAAAATCTGCAAAAGCACCAATAAAGTAGTTTCCCATTGGACATGTAACAGTTTCAGATAAACAAAAAATCTCTCAGTTATCTCCCACTTTCTGAAAAGCTGGAGCGAAAATTAGGTTCCTTGAATCACAAAAAGCTGTAGAAACAAAGTCATGTTTTTATTTATTTTTAATATTTGTGTATTTGTATTTCTGTGGTGTTTTTTCTGTTAACAAATAACCGAGACGATATACTATCACTGAAGTGTGTTTTATTTTCAATTTCTTGAGTTCACAGTCCATTTTTTTTTATTTTCTTACTCCAAATTATGCAAATTTGAACTTAGAAAATGAATACTAGAAAAGCGAACATCCTCAAGACTAAACATTTTCCATTATTCATTATTGTCACATTGCATTAAAGTTTTTAATAATTAGTGTAATGTAAGAGAAGAGAACATTTCGGGTGAGTTTGGGGGAAGAGGGCTGGCATTTGGAATCAAAATATCGAATATCGATTTATTGATATTAAAAAGTTATTTTAGATTTTGCATATTTCAATAAAAACAAATGACACATCCTATGGTTTAATTTTTGGTTATGGTTTTCTTTCGAAAACTAGCGTTTAAAAACTAATTAATGTAGATTCTGAGCAATAGGAATTCTTTTTTTTTTAACCTACTAGTGAGTTTTGCAAATCAAATGGAATTACTTTTTAAAGAGACCCGGCAAAATATAACAAATGGCGAAAAAAATAATATTACATTATATATTTCTCATTATATATTCTCTAAATCAACCCAAACTATACAAAAAGGATTTTAGCATTTATTAGAAACACCATTTAACTGTTGCTGTTAATCGCGTTAAAAATGTACACGAAATCGTTTTGAATGAAAACCCATGAATAATTTAACGACATTGGAATGATAGTTTTGAAACTTGAAACTTTTTCTTACAACATGTCACCTATATTTCAATTTTCCAAATTGCGCTTTAAGGTACATATCTAATACTTATTTTAATTAAAATAAAATGTGACAAAAAATATGGGTTATAAACAGGCAAAATTTACGATTTTTAGCATTGTTTCAATTAGAGAAAAAGGAGTATTAATAATTATTAATTTGTTTGACAAGTAAAATAACAAAAATATTCTTCTATTCCCTGTATAAGAAAGGCGTCACATTTTGACTACATTAGGCTGCTTTTATTATGCCGAACTTGGACGAGTTCCAACAAAAATAACGGTAAGTCGATACCTTTACGTGTATGCGCAAATCTTAAATCTCATTTAATGCGTGTTTATTACACAATGACGTAACAAAAATCGATAATGGCAAAATCGAGCGTTGTTAAAAACATTCTACCACAAGTTAGAGTTTTAGAGGAGATGAAATTTGAATAACTTTAATTCATAACTTGCTTAAGTGACAAGTCTTTATTCACATTCATTTATTACTGTGCGATATCTCAAGGAAACTGCACAGCTTCGGTTAAATTGAACCAAAGTATACAAACATAACCTAACTTAATTTTCGTGATCATCTCGTGTTATTTTTTGTAGGGTATAAGTCTTATTTACGTCGAATCAATGGGTATAATTTTTGCAGCTGCAGCTTTCTGAAAAATTGTTACGCCCTATTGAGAACTGACATCATGATGGCGAGAAAATAAAATACTTTAGGAAATATTTATGAGTTTATTTAAACAAAAGTTTTACCATTTGTTTTCACACATATTTACAATCCGAAAACATTAAGAATACTGATGTATATTAATTCTCGTTACACAATACTGCATAATATCCAAGACATTTAACAAGTTCTGTTACAAGGGACCACGTATTAATCTAGATTTTTTTTTTATTAAAACAACAGTTTGATGTCTTTCGTTAAATAGTTTTCTAAAAATACAAAAATAAATAACTTATGCCGGTTGAAATAGTTTAAATTTACGTATAAGTATTTACAACTAATGTTACATTGTGGGGTCGTTTTTTCTATTTATCCAATTAAATGTTAGAACCGTTTAAATTAGTACCAGGAAATTAAGTCTTGTCACTGAATAATAAGTGCGAAATGAGTGAAACTAATGTGCATCAACAAAAAATACAACTCCACCCACCTTTAGCTAGAGCATTTCCTAGATTACTTGCAAAAATTACAAATATACGATTACATGTGCTTTAGGTAGTCAGTCTTGTTACCATGTATACTGCGACCAACAAAAAATACTTTTTTTAACAACCACACTAGAGTCTCTTATTCATCACATAGGGAAATTATACACTATATACAACACCATTCTATTAATTTTCACAGCACTGGGGTTTGCCATAGTTTACTTTATTTGCTAAAACGCAATTCACTTTTCAATTCACAATGAATTTTCTGTCACAGCTCGTTATAACAAACATCGTTCATAGGAACCTCTAGTCTTTGGTATTATCTACTGCTATTGCATGAAGCGGTTTAGACATCGGTGCCACATCCTTCTTGGTAACCTTCGTCTGGCGAATTGCGATTACTACTCAAAGCTCGCTTCAGAGCAGTAACCGGGGGTAACACTGGCACACCACCTTTCTGCCACACCCTCAAAGTCTTTGTGTTTGTCGGTAGACTCACCTGGGTGGCCGACGCGGCAATTTCTGTGATCGGTAGGCCGTAGTCTTTGGGGTAACCTACTTTGGGATCGACTATTGGCACCCTATCGTCGAAAATAAACGCCGGGTTGTTATTGGCCATACGTTGGGTGCTGTATAAGTCATTGTCCGCGTTCCATAGACTCGAAGGGTAGAGAGAGTCTGCGTTTCGACTGTATTCACCACTTCCGGGGCGTTCCATATCGTAACCTTCTGCGGCAACTGCAACAGGAATCATTTCCTCGCTGCCGAGTTGTTTCGTGTCATTTATTAAATCCGGATTGTTACCGGAATTGGACGATGGTGATACGCAAGACGCGGACATCATTCCATTGTTGTTGCTAGAGTACGGCAGGTCGCTAACCCTTGGTGGTTTTTGCACAGGGTTGCAGAACTTTAAATCGGTGGGTTGTCCTCTTTCAGGAAATGAAGGCACCTCGACTGTGGCATTGCTAGGCGATATCGCGACTTTCCCATTAGGCAAATTAGAACCGTTCACTACAGTGATGACCTCCATTTGGCCGGGGGTTTTGGTCTCTACTAGCGGGTGCCTTCGGAGCCGCATTAAGAGTATCAAAATAACCACCAGGATAAACAAAATTAAAACTACCAGCGCCGCACTTAATCCTGCGATTTGGCCGTTTCCTAAGGAAGTGATACCAAGTGGTCTCGATGTGACGCGAAGGGTATAGTTGGCTTCCGAATTGCCAGCACGGTTTTCTGCCACACAATAAAATTCAGTAGAATCGATTTCTTGTACGTTCGTTAGGACTAGATTGCTTTTCTTCTCCTGCAGTCCAGTTTCGAAGATGTGGATTTTTTGGTGGGAAGAGAATTGTGAGTTATTTACCAAAAGCCGCCCGTTCCAGTACCATTTAATGTGGGGTGACGGAACAGCGTTAGCGCGACACGCAACAGTGGCATTTTCCCCAGAAAAAACCTCCACGTACCTGCTAACTGGAAGTATTTCGGGTTTACAGGCCAAATCATCCATCTGGATTTCAGCAAATGATTTATCAATTAGTCGTTCCGGTCCGCCACCGCACTTGGGTACTATCGGGTAAGGGATATTATTGTAAGTTAGCCATTCCTTGACGACGCGCAGGCGGCAGTCGCAGTACCATGGGTTGTCGTGTAGTTCAATGCCGTGCAGCTTGTTCAACACTTCGACCGTATTCGGTCTTAATTCGGAAAGTTGATTTCCGTTGAGTTTCAGAGATTCGAGCATTTCAATTCCCTCGAACGCGTTGGGCGTTATCATTTTGATTTCGCAATTTGACAGGTCCAACTTTACCAAAGCGTGCAATACCTGGAAAGCGTTCGAATCAATTTTTTGCACGGGGTTGTTGGAGAGAACCAGGTCGCGTAAGAAAGGGGTGTCTGCAAACGTAATCGAAGGCACGGACGTCAGTAAATTATGAGACAAATCGAGTTCGACTAGATTGGTTAAGCCCCTGAAGGCTTTGTCGTCTATCTGACCGATGCGACATCGACTCAAGAACACCCGTTGCAAGTTAACAAGGCCGGATCTCACGAAAGTTTCCCTCGGGAGTATCTGGAGATTGTTGCCGGATAAATCTAAAACTTGAGTTTCGGGATCGGCACTCTCGGGCACGGTTATTAGACCGCGTTCCACGCACTCGACGGTTTGCTTTCCAGATTTCCATTTGCACATGCACAGCGAAGGACACGTTCCTGATAAGTTGTGCGTGTAAGCACCGACGGCCACTACCATTGTTAATATCACTATCGCATTATTGAAAGCCATTTTCTTATCGGTGTTTGGAAAATTTAATCACTACGAGGTAGCGCATCGACGTACGTAACACGTAAAGCGTGTCAGAATACGAGCGCACCGCGTTGTCACTCAATCGGTCGACTGAAGACTGAAGCGGCTCTAAGAACACCGAATTTGAACAGTGGTGCCCTCACCCTCCTCTCTATTGGCCGGAGCCGTTGCGCACTGGCTCGCAAGTAACCACCGCATCAACGTATACTGATTTCTACTACGCTCTCCCCCTTTTATTTTCCGCTCAAAATATCGTATCGTAGTCGCCGTAGTTTCGTTGTGAATCGTTTGTTAATTATCAGAATTTTTAAAAGTTATGAATGGATGAGTCATCTCTCCAATGCTTTTAGAGTAAACGTGTCCCGGCGAGGAACTTATAGTGGGTATATTTTTGGCTTACGTAATATGAACTTAAAGGTGGGTTTATACAGAATTTTATTTAATTTTAATTTGTAATAGAATTATAACAGCTTAATTCTACCGAGAGGGTTTATGCAGAGAAATAGATTTGGTTAGTTAAACATCATTCATGTAGTCTTTCTTTCTTCTTCTTAAAAATATCTTTTAATAATTTCCAATGTCATTTCGTTTAATTAACATCAACACGTCAATATATCGATACCGACAAAAAGCAAAAATTTACATAACTTTTTTTATAGATATAATGTGTTTTTATATTTTGGATTGACTGACACAATTTACCGATTTTCCTTAAATTAATATTAAATTACAGCTTCATGAAATTACTAACTAGCTGCTTTGGTATTAAAATTGAAGTTTCTTTCCAAAAATTCATCAGGCTTTGAAGATTGGTTTCAATACTGGAACTATAACAAATTATTCTACAAATTTGCCAACAAATAGCAGTTAACGTATTATATAACTAACTAACTATAATCAAAACCTCCAGAATGCAAGTTCCAATGCTTGACTTATTTCGGTAATAGCTAAGACTTTTCTCCGAATAAAAATATCATTGTTTTACTTGATTGCGTCAATGACGTTTTTATTTTTGAGCCGACATTAATTTTTAATAATATAAACTGCAGGTCTTTAGTGTAAATCTGTTAGACGTTTTTTTCTATAAATATTTTTATATTTTTTACTTCTTAATCGCAAAATTTCTTATTTCAATTTTTAGTTCTCGGTAAAATCAAACGGATTCGTAAGCATATATCTCTTACTAATAAATCTTTACATTTTTAAATTTCTAATATATTTCTATATATCCACGTACATTCCAGTAAAAATCTCCCCACTCGAGGTACCTACGTGCGTAGACAAAAATGTAACCATCCCTAAGAAAATATTTATTTTACGGGTACCAACACCACCTGCCTTTCGCTCGACTAACCCAAACAGAACCGCCTCATTATGCCGTAATCCCTGAATTTCGTGCGAGATAGCGTACACTTTTCCGAATAATAGAAAATCTCCCTTCCCAAACCAAGAATGAATGCACAGGCCACAAAACCTTACCTCCGTAAACACAATAGAATTTAAGGTTACTATTGCTACACCTTTTTGGCTTCTCGTTCTCAATGCTTTTCATGTTTTTACCTCGAAATCTGATTGGATGCGGTGTATAGCGCGTGCACTCCAACTGGTACTTACAATACATAATTGTGGAGGGAGCAAGTTTATTAACATTTTTATTTAATTAGGAATTCAGCCAGAAATAACATTGCTGTGAAGTTATAAAATGCCAACGCAAAAATATTAGTCTATTGCGTGGAGTTTAACGAAATTCACCCTATACAGAAGCAATGGAATATCGAATTTACTAAATAAGGTAGACCATTTTCATCAAAATGTGCTGCGAATTCTATAACCAAAGAAAATTACGGACATTAGCATGCCACGTTACACCGCTCTCGAACGTAGCATTAAATCAGAAATTACCTGTAAACCGGCAGATACTTATATCCATAATAAAGATCTTAATCTATAATTAATTTCCCATTACATTGTTTATTATTAAACATCGATAAATGTAACCTACTTTTGAGTTTTATTACTACGGCTACATGTAATCGACTTTTAACAAATATTAGGGAGCAATGTAATATGTGAAGGAAAAACAAACTACGCTATTCTCATCGGTAATGACTTAAAAAACTTTTTGAGCTATCGGCTTAATTTACTTTGAAGTTGATTAATGTTTATTGATGAACCTATAACGTGTGTGACTAATTTCGGTAACTTTTTCTTGATAAGGGAATACCGTTTTACAGCAGAAACAGCATTTAAAAGAAAGTACCAATTTTCGAAACCAAATAAGAATAATGTTCTGATGTTCTGAAATATTAATTGTATTATCCTTCTTCCGAAATGTTTACTACTGCTGCTAGTACGACGATTAAGATTTTTCTACACCCATCTCTAAACCATTTATACACTGATCAGAAGTGGGCAAAGTCTCACTTGCTTAAACACGAACTACTCCGGTCGTTTCCGGTGCTTTAGTCACGAGATGTTAAATATTTGAATTGACATGACGTGACGTGTGAGACGTCCGTCAATGAATGTAATCGTGATGTTATCCAAAAGTATACCCAAAAACTAGTCTTTAAAAAAGTATAGCAAAATAAACACTTGATTAAAGTGCCGTTTTTTAAATGCATATATTACTAAAACAGGGTATATGTTGGTTACGTTCCCAGTAAATAAGCTTTGGTTGAATAATACTCAATTTTGTAAATTATATTCTTAATGCGCTGATAAAGTTTTGCTGAAATTTTCCACAAACCGGTATTAACAAAATATATATTATATAATTTACTCCCTGAATTGAACAATTTTTAACATCACAGATATTTAGTATTAACTGTTAACTGAATGTTAAAATAATGGTAATTTCCTCAAATTAAAATTTATTTGCTACAATTAAATCTCTAATTCCCAAAGGCATAATCTTTTTGACACCAGCAACTGGTTTTTTTGGATATTCCGACGGGAACAGGAGTTGACATGTTATTAATTATTAAATAATATTGTTAATTATTGTCTAAATGGGCAGGGAAACATCTTTAAAGTAATTCCAAAATATTTGTCGTCCCGGCAGAATGCTCATAAAAAGGAAAGAATTTTATTTGAACAGAATAAAAATAAGGCCTTATGTACAGTTATTAGCTGCCCTTCAATTTTAATAAATTTTTTGAAAAAGAAATTAATTACAGAAGATCATCAAATTCTTCGTAGTAGTAGTCAAGATCCCATACAAAGTATTTTAAAGAATAAAGCGTACAACAAACCATACGTGAAAACTACTCGACAGGGGTATATTTTCAATACCATTACCAACTATATTTGCCAAATAAAATAAGAACATATTTATTTAAGGAAAAACGGACAATTATAGGAGACAAATTTGACAACGTTCCCGCATTCGACTCAAGCAAGTATCCCGGTGATGTTTTTATTTCCCTCTATCTCGGTTGATAATGAGGATATAGCTATGCGGTTTTTAAAATTAAATATTTATGAAAAATCCAGCCCATGACATGTAAGTCGATTTGGCTAGATATCCTGTTAAGACACTTTGACATTTACGTCCTACCTGTAATCACCCTATCTCAAATATTATATTTTCTGTGGCGTTTGATTCGGACCGTGTCGTCCTAGTTATAGTACGAACGTCGTACCAATAATCTCACACACAAACCGCCAGAAGTCCGCTTAGGCAGAACCGAGCCGGTCTCGACAGGTACTTTCAATAAGTTATAATACTGAATGGGCGACACGGCCCAACCTTCTTCCCAGGTATTCGTTAATATTTTTTTATTCTTCGCCGTCATTCAGACGCTTTAATCGCGTCATTTTAAATGCAGCGGATGCGCCGTTCGGAAAGGAAACGAAGCCAATAAAAACGAACCGGTTACACGGAAAACTTTAATTAGATAATCTCGTTTCTGTTTTTCAAAATGACAACATGCACGCCCGATGCTTAATTTACGAAAAATAAAGGAATCCCACCTTATGTGACCAGAAGGAGTTGAAGGGACAGTTCGTTAAAAATAAGCACCCAACTTTACGATTTCACTGACTGTAAGCATTAAAATTGTTTAAAAACCTTAAGGTATAGTATATGGTCTAGTTATTTGGTTTAGTATGCGGTCTACCAAAGCTTATTTGATTTAGTATTGGGTCTACCTAAGGTTAATTGGTTTAGTATATAAATAAACATACATGAAAATAAAATGCAAACTTAATTTGGAATACCAGTTTTACATACAAAGGTATAAATCGAGCAATAAATCAAAAATGGAAAACAAAAAATAAATAAATAAAGAGAACTGATTAATTATCCAGGTAGTCTCCCGTAAGAGATATTTTTTTCAATGAAATTTAAAAGCGCAATGACTAAGTTTTTCCAGCAAATATGAGGGGCATCCAGTTTTGAATAGAAGAAAACTCGATATATTTAACTATTTTAAATCATGATATTTATGACTTACATGATCTCATCGCTTAAGGTTATAAATAAATCGAATTCTGTACTTTTTGTAATTTATATTTTGTCACAACATCCAAGCAGGGTCCATAGACAAAATTACATTAATTTCGATGACTCAAAACTAATGCTTCACAGTGATTTTTTTTTAATCTAAAGTTTAGCATATCTTTACTTTAATAGATGTTACGGAGATTAATATAAGCGTTTTGGAGAATTTTTGAAACCTGTGTACGAAAGTTCATTATCAAAAATGATACCCAAGTTTTTACATTCGTCAACAGCTGCAGTACATGCATGCAATTTTTCGAAGTCCATTTACACTAATACATTTCAAAAGTATGTATTGTTGCCAAGTTTTCCTTCAAATATGTTTACAAACTTCTTAAAACACATTTAAAATTCAATACATAATGAATACTACTATGCTCAATAGCTTAATAAGAGATTGTATTATATTTATAGTGTTATATAATGGGAGCAATATATTTTAAAATAGTTGCCATACGTTGTTGGAATATGAATATTATGCAATAAATCATAATTTTATTAGGCTTGTGTTTCGTAAAACCAGATTTTACTAAATTAAGCAGGGACACTGATAATGCAGTTACGAGCCCTAACAACTAAATGTTCGGACGATGTAAAAAATGATAAAAAAGACATTTTTATATCTATTTAACTTTTTTTTTTTGCTTTAGAGAT